GCATCGGAGTCATAGAAGTTATTAATCCAACCTTTTATGCCTTAAAGGAACACTGTGTAGCTTTTTGTTGCTTCTTGTTTCTATGGATACTAGGGTTGGGCGGTATCCAAATTTTGATACCGTTAAACCTTCTCAGGATTTTACCGGGATATATAGTATTATAGTATTACCAAAATGTTTTAGTATGACTTTGTATAAGCTCTGAAAAGTTTACATGAACCATCTCCAACACGATACACGCACAGAACAGACTCACCATCAGCCGCACATCCTCTGTCAGAGAGAACACATATATTCCACTGACAGAAGCTGAACTGCATCAGCATACAAGAAAAGAGCTGTTTTTACCAGCGCTTTATAGTTTATGCAAATGAGCCATGTGGGTTTCATTTTTGTAAAATGTAAACAAATGTGCGCCTGAAGCCAAAATGCTGCCAAATTGCAGAAGTACTAGTACGGTATCTTTTTTTTTAGACCAACTCGCTTGCGGCTTGACTTGCCATCTTGTTTTGGTCTCCCTTATGAGCTGTTAGGGGACAATGGAATGAAACTAATCGAACTTCATCTCCCCACACAGTTAAAAGAAACATTATAGACTAGTACTAGTTTTAAATCGTGATAGCATTAAACTGGAAATGAAACCACACCTTCATTTGTCCTGAGCAAACTAATTTAGGTATCAATAAATTATATTATAATAAAAGATCCTTATGCGCTGCAGATTGTTTTAATGATGGTAATGAAACTGGTACCGTTGCTACTTTTTGATACCGCGGGATACCGTAATACCGTATTTCCACCCAAACCTAATGGATACTCCACAGTACGACATTAAACAGCTCTACTTTGCATTTATTCAATCACAGGTGGTTTTATGGCTCAAAAATGCTACAAAAACAAGCATTCTGACCTGTTACTTGGTCTGGTTTGATCTCCGTGATGATAGAAAGGATTATGTCATACTGTGAAGAATCAATAACATGTCCCTGAAGTCATGCATTTGACAGGCCCTCCACCAGAAAGTTGCACAATGCACCTTTAAATCTTATCGTTCAGCCAAAAAATAACCAAAAATCTCCCACTAGTTCAAAGAAAAAGTAAACATCATGAATAAGGATCTTTAAAACAATATTAAAGCTTTCATATACTGAACGATAAGTCGATATAGTAATTACGGTGACGGGCATATACGCCTATAGAGACTGTGTACATTTATTGAATAGACTCCATTAGACTCCACTGTAAACAGCCTCAGCTCATCCTGGTGTCGTCTCTGTATCTGAACACACAGCAGGGACATTTATAGTGTTGTTGATATTGTGTTTGACATTAGAATAATCCCATGTTTAATATTTATAATGACTTTCAGCCATTTTCTTTTATTTGGATTACATTTCTCTTGATTATTTATAAATATACCATCTGTGCTGTTCTGCTCAATAAAGATTATAGACTACTGGAAAAACAGTGTGGGTGCAGTTGAATAAATAAAACTAGGAACGCACCAATACTGATACTAGTTTTAAATATCAGCACTGATCCAGGAAAATCTATTGGATCTGGTATTGGTTCTACGATATCGGTTCAGTCCAAATCTGGGTGGGCCTTTAGTTGGAAGTAAAGAGATTATTTACTGACTGTTATGGCCCAGGATGTTCCATAATATTCATACAAAGCTGTTCTGTAGTTACTTGCAGGAGAAATAATAGTTACATAAAACAATTAGATCAATGTTGTAAGTAATTAACTAAATGCCATTTTCAGTCCTTACACTAATATTGGTTAATAAAGGCTACTGGCAGATATGTAATGCCATATTATCGATATTGGTATTGGATCTGAAAAAGCTGGAGTGATGCATCCCTAACTAAGACTGAATATAAAAATAAATAAAGGTATTGCTTATTTTAATGTAATACAACTTTAACCAAAAACAGTCTTGTAATTCTACCTCATTCTAACGTAACCTTAGCACATATTCTCAGATGACAGTCATGTTTTCACATTAGTACAGCAGTTGTACAGTTGTGTGGAGTCAAACTGAATTCTGAAATATACTGCAATAGGTTTGTGCAATGCGGGGCAATGTTTTGGCTGTTGATGACATCCTACTTTAATTATTCATCTAATATTTTGGTGCTGATTCAAAAGTGTTACAGTCTAAATAATACACTAATGAAGATGGTTCTTTTAATGTACATCTCTGAACAGTTAAAAGTTTATTAGGTCAGAGTTTGTTGTTTTGTTAACCAACAAAGCTAGTTTCTGCGACTCCCCAGTCTTCATCAAAGCATGATCATGTGATTCTGTTCCTGTTCCACCTTAATAAACTGTGATTTTTAAGTCCATGCACCTTCACTGGGGGTGTAACAATATCCAAGTCTCACGATATGATATTGTCACAGTATGAACCTCATGGTACAATATTTATTGTATTGTATCATGGGAAAGCTCATGATATGGTGGGGAGGGTCACAATTAGGGATGTAACAATATCCAAATATCTCTGTACAATATTTTCACGATATACATCTCACAGTACGATATTTACTGCAATATTTTGTGGAGGCTAACAAAACTGTTTATATGCTACTTTTTCCTCTTAAATGCCTTGACAAGACTTAATCCAAAGAACTAACTACTCAAAAGTGCTTACAACTGTTATTTCTTCATGTAGTCTACACTGAAATGGAGCAAAGGATCATGGTCTATGTAGTTTCTTCTGTCTTTTTTGCTATTGCTGCAACATACAGTAACTCTTAATTTAAGTAAAGAGACTTGTAATTTGATATATTGTGATGGTCCACGATATTATTGTGAGAACTTGGACTATACGATATCATGATTTCGGTTACTGTTACATCCCCAACCTTCACTAAAATCATTTTGATAATGTCAGCTCAAGAATTGCCAATCTCTACTGAACTAAAGGTAAAAGGTAGCTCTTAACTTGAAAACTACGGCTTCATGACATCACAAGGTGGAACAGAGCATTTGGAGCTATGGAGATGTTGAAAATTATTAATATGTAGGGTTAATCAAATGTGTAAATTAAACAAAACACAACTCCTGAAACAATGTTCTAACATGGCTTAAAGCTCACAAGAGTCAATTTTGTGTCAATAGAACCTTTAACTGAGTTTGGGCTATACATTTATATTTACATTATTTACAAATTACACTTGGAGATCTCTCAAACTGAGTAACATCTTCGACTACTCACAATTTTAAGATGTCTAATTATTTAAAATATGTAATAAAGCCCAGTTTAAACACTTGGACTTTTTAAACTCAATAAATCAAAATTCATAGGTGGATGCCTCAAATGTATGAATAGCCCTCTTTTAGCAATATCCACATTCATTTGTCTACGTTGTCTACGATCTATGGTTTGTCCTTGCAGTAATGACGTGGATATCCTCAGTGTGTATTGTTTGTACTAGGAGGAACTGGGTTGCAGATATCTTTAATTCATATTAGATGATAAAGAGTCTTGCCATTAGCTTTCAAGGAGTAGCTGGAAGGTGTCAATCCAGTAAACAAACACGGACAAAAAATAAATAAATGTTTAAACAGTTAAGAAAGGAACTTTTTCAAAAACGAAAAATTTCAGACCATGAGAAAAAGTGGCATACACTTAACAAAGGGTGATAAAAAAAAAAAAGGAAAGACATAATGTTAGTGTTATGATCCAGAACACTCAGTACTTAGGATGAGTTTATCCATATGACCTAACTAAACTAAAGTGTTGAGTTTTACCAAAAAGTGGAAGGTTTAAAGTGGGAGTCTTCCTGCAGCTTTGACAGTTAAATCTGTAGAGGTTAATTGAGATCACACACTGGGCTTTAGGATCAGGCTTTCTTTAAATAAAAGCTTGTGAAAAAATGTGCTGTGTCTCCACTTTTTAAAAAACGAATGGTCCCTCTAAGTCTAAACTTAAATAATCCCCTACTATTTTATACCGTCACTTATATTTGTCACTACTATCATTTATTGCTATTTTGCTGTGACATCATGCTGGGGATGTTCTACATGTATGTGTATTGACAATGCACACGTTCACAAACAGTCAAAGTTTTAAGATAAAATGAAAACTCCAGAATGAATGTTGTTCAATGTTGAGTTCATGGTCCTGTTTTTTTCAAAAAAACAAAACAAAAAAAGTGAGTAGAAATAACTAATTGTTACACTCATAGCATTGCCCAAATAATTAATCAAGGTTTTTGAGATTTAAAAAAAATGAAAATTGGTCAACCCTTCGGAGACCAGGTAAAAAAGGTGTATAAATGTCAGCTGAGCTCCTTCTAATTTTTGTGTAACAGTCTTTCTAAATATGTGATTTTCCATGTCACACCGCAGGACACACGTTGTATTAGAGCATTAAATTGCTTATGTCTTTTTTAGATTTAAAGTAGAGATAAAGGTATAATTTTATGAAATGGTGTGCATGCTTACATTTATGTATTCTCATACAGACTACATATTTGTGCGCAGTTGAGTTGAATTTTGGAGCTAGAAATAGATTTAGAAAGTAATTTAAAGTGATGAAATGGATGTCACATTAAGTACAGATGTCTATAAGATGTTGGGGGTGATTTGTGTTTTTTTTTTTTTTTTGGTTTCTTTTTGACTTTTTTGTTTTCTTTCTGATTGGCCAAGGACAGAGCCATTGACAGACAGATACAGCAGGGCCACAAATGATGAAGGCAGTTATGCTATGAGGCCAGTGTAGTGCTAGTATCCTGTGACTATCAGTTCCAACTAAGCATGTTCTTTTTGGTCAAATTGTCTTAATTTAAAGCTCACATTAAAAGTCTAACCAGCCTCAGACAGAGCATCCTTACAGTTAACATCACACCCCCAGGGAATGTTGATGACATGAATATAAATATTACATCACATTTTGTTTGGAAGATCAAATTGAGAAAGATTAAACTGATGCAAGCAAAAGATTTTTAGAATGATCGAAAACTGTAAATCAAAATCAGATAAGACAAAAGTTGAAAACCAGGTCATTTTATTTTTTATCAAAAGGAATTGTAACAAAAAAAAACAACAGACAAAAGAATGAGAGATTTCCGTCAAGTTGCACGGTTCAGTTATACAGTAAATACAATGACGTATATGTGTGTAGGAGTGGGCAATATAGACAAAAAAGAATGTGTTTGAGTATATATAGCGATAACATATGAAAATATTCTGGCAACCAAACAGAAAGATGGTAAAACATGCTATTTAATATATTTGTAGGACTTCAAAATTACCCATAGAAGTAAAGGAAACCCCCCATTTTGAATGATTACAAGAGAAGTTTGTTCCATTTTTGCTGCATTTTGATATAGTTTTAATAATAAACTACATAGAGGTCGGGACTGAATGTCTAAAAAGCAACTGTTATTGACAAAATTCGGCATTTTGTAGCAGCAGTGCAAAGCGTCAACAGAGATACATTAGCCACAACAGTGCTCAAAAATCTCTGAGCCCTATAAGCTGCTGTATTACTATTGGTTTATTTTAAGTTTATTCTTCACATTATAATGTCAGAATACTTTTGAATGAACGCTATGTTTAGTATTTAGCACTTTACTAAAATACATCAACATTCATGCAGACAGTGGCTCCTTCTTTTTTGGATCGCTCGAGGAAAAACTAAAAATGAGTCAGGGAATAATTTAGATCCATAAAATGCTTCTTTATAAGATTTTAGTCTAACTGAAAATGATGTGTGATGGCACGATCCCAAGCTTTAACTGATGTAAAAAATGTTGTAAACCTTTGTGTTACTCATAATTCAATATATTGCCCACCTCTACTCGTGTGTTGTGTTTATGAGGTTGTGTATATTACAACGAAATGTGTATTTTTATGTAGGTTTGGTGAGCAGCTGTGTGGAAAAATCATACAGATCTTTATTGACCTTCTTCAGAGTCTGAACCTCTTCCTCCAGCTCGGCCACTCGGACTTTTGTGTTCTCACCGTCACCAAACACCGACTGAACACAAGAAATTATATTACGTTAAATTACAGGGAATCATCTTTAAATGTAACAATAAATGCCAAAGTGTGAGGACCTACCTTATCTGTGACAGCATTCATTAAAGAATTGAGTTTAGCTGCTTTCTGTAGGTAAGTCTCATCATCTTCCTAAAACACATACATACATATTGTTAAATGAATGGAGCGCTCTCACTTTTTTCCCCCATGCATGAAATTTTGGACCCTGGGTACAAACTATGCTGGAGGACATCTATGATAAAAACTACTACTCTTTACCCACCTCCAGTCCCCCTGATCATTGAGCTAAATCTATTCAACATCAAGTTACTACTAGGGATGAAACTAATTGGTGATTTAATGAGTATTGGACTAGTCAAAGGATTCACACAAATAAACAAAAACATTCACACAGACAGAGTGACAACCCCTTGAAAGAATATAATACAATTAAGTTATGTTTTAGTAATATCTTATGCCTAAAGATTTGATTTAATTTTGTTTCTGTGGAGATGTTATTGCTATTATGTTATTAAGGAAAACAGACTCTTGTGAGCTTTAAGCCATGTTATAGTGTTGTTACCTCACCAAAAACATACCTGGAGTTGAGTTTATTTTTTTGTAGTACTTTTTATTATCCCTGTAGGGAAATTCTCCTCTACATTTCACCCATCCTTTCAGGAGCAGTGGGCAGTACATGGGGCGCCCGGGGACTTATCTCTTTGATCTTGTTGCTAGGCTTGGTCAGGTAGCTTAGCTGGAGGATTTAACCTATGGTGCATGTTTTGGGTTGATGGGGGAAACCGGAGTGCACGGAAGAAACCCACCCAGACACGGGGATTTTTGTTTCATTCACACATGTTTGAGTAGACTGCCAACATCTCCAAAGCTCAAAATGCTCTGTTCCACCCTGTGATGTCATGTAGCGGTAGTTTTCATGTTAACAGGTACCTCTTACCTTTTGTCCAGTAATCCCAGGGCTGAAATTTTCCAAATGATTCTAGTGAAGGTGTATGGAATAATGGAGCATTTCATGTATTACTACATGACATCACAAGGGGGAACAGAAAACACAAACCCTGCATATTTAGAACTCAACCTAAATATGCAGGGTTTGTGTGTTAAACGTGTGTGAATTAAATAATATTAGGCAAGTGTAAAATAGATCCTTTAAATCCAGCCTTTCCCCTTCTGTTTCACCTCTTTAACCCTTGCTGAGTTGACTGGGTTTCATACCTGTGTAGAGCCCCAGGCGCACACAGAGCTCCCCGGACTCGCTGGCATCCCCTTCGCTGCCATGCACGTGGCGACTGAAGCGAGGCAGGGGCAGCGCCGGGCGACTGTCTGGCAGGAACATGTTGGCAGGGGCCAGCATGATCATCGCATTAGTCACTGGACCTGGAATTAGAAAGGACAGGAGGTGTGACCAAGTGGTTTAGAAAGACACACTGAATTAACTGGACTGTAGAGACTGGGGTCAGTGTAAATAAACAAAAGGATGATCGTCACTGTAGGGGCAATGGTGGTTCAGTGGTTGAAGGTTGAAAGATCGATTCCTGTTTGGACCAAGTTCTGTTGTTGTGTCCTTAGGATAAACATTTTACTCTTGCCTAGTAGTATGAAAATAGTATGTGCGTGAGAGTTGGTGGTGGTTGGAGGGGATTGTTTGCATTATATTAATATTATTAGAATTTAGTTTTTTGGTATACTACTTTATACTGAAAACTAAAAATACTGTAAGATCATCATCTTAATTACAAATATTTTGAGGTGAGAGATTAAACAGTAGGCTTGCAATTCATAATCAGCTTGTGCCTATTGTAGCTTCTATCTAAATTGGAAGTGCAGTTACATTATACAAAATTTTGTGCTTAATATGTGAGACAAAGTGTATTTAATTATGTTAATGAAAAGTATAGCCTGTCAGCAAGTACAATTGTTAAATTAATTTGAATTCTTTCCAGAAATTTAAAAAAATGCACTGTGAAGAAAAACACAAATCATGCTCCAAGTTCAACACAAGTTCACATGACTATTTTTAGAAACCTGAAATTCAGTCTGCCTGAATGACTTCAACGTAGTTTAGAAGATATTTTGACACTTTTTAATGAGTACACCTGAATTAGCCTTAATAAAGCATGAACAAAGACTTCATTCAGTTCATGAACGACACAAGAGATTATCAATATTGAATAGTCTTTAGTCTAGTTATTCTGAAGTCTTCCCCTGGCTTCCTGTACCTACACATGAACACACGGATCAGCTGATTTATGACATCAGGGCTGAATGAGGAGGACGGAGCTGAGCAGGAGCCTGGAGGCAGCCAACAGATCAAAGTGAGAGGAAACTCTTCAATTTGTAACCTGAAATAACCTGAAAAAGGGGGAATGAGCTGGCGCCAGAGCAGGCTGCAGCACTGGGACAGGCAATTCTCCAGAGAATTCAACAGCTCAAACCTGTTAACCTGGTTATCTGTCACTACATGGAGATCCAGGCTGGATTTAGTGTGGCGTTTTCATCTACCAATCACTGTCTTAACAAAATATCTATATGAAGACATTTTAATCCAGGGAAATCAAATTCTTCTAGTATAAATATGATTTTTTTTGTAATTGGTAACACATAAATATTGTTTTGATAATTTCATTAGACTTTCCACAATACCAAAAAGGGCTGGACAATTGTATTAAAATATTTGACAAAAAAGCAAAATGGCGATTAGATTTCAAAATGAGGGTTGTCAGAAGTATTGAAAATCAGATATTAATCAATATTTTAAACTAGTATTGAAACTATACATTTGTGCAGGTACTGATACTAACAAATTCACAGAACAGAACAGAAATGAACCTTTCCTGAATAGCTTTAAAATGGATCTTGAGCTGTATCAGAACAGTCATATTGTGACAACTCCATTTCCTATTTATTTACCTAAACTACAGGGACGACATGCACTTCAGAATATGCGTGTATAGCTCAAAAGTACATAAGAGATATTTTATTGTGCACAGACAGCATTTCATTTTATTTATTTATTGCAGCCTTCACTAATTGCAAACATTCAAAGTGCAATTCTGATTTGACTGCGATTAATCTTGCAGCCCTAAGCAACAATCAGTCTTGCTTTGAACAATACTGCTTAATGCATATATAACAGGGGGTTCAAGGCTCACGCTACAACTCTAGAATACAGAATTACAGCTCGTATTATTTTCACCAACACATTTAATCAATCTGTTTCACTTAAAGAGGCACTGTGTAACTTTTCTGGAGTTAGTCTGCAACTTGTTTTGTCTGGCTTTGGTTTAAATTGTCCACACTTTGGTATTGAACTAGACTATTTTGAATTTATTCAACTACAGGTGTTATTTATTGCTCCAAAATATTAAACATTGTTACTGTGAGTGGGGGCTCCTCTCCATAAATCTGACCTGTAATTTGGCTAGCAAGTCTCCGTGAAGATTCATAAGTTTATGGTCATACTGTTGAACATTTGGGGCACATCTCCATGGAGAAGCAGGTGACGGACCCGTCAACAGACATGTTACACAACACACCTTTCGAAAGAATATTTTGTCTTTTCCATATAACCGTGTATATTGTATCCCTATATAACCTCTTTATTATCTTTTATTGAGTAGCACAAGCGTTGATAATAAAAATGAATCAGAGACACCATAGAGTATACTTTCCCTTTAAGAGATGCTATGTTCTGGTCTTTTTACCATTGGCTTTGGGCAGTTTTTGTGCTTTTATATTTCATAACAGAGCCCAGCCATAACAGGGCAGAAGGAAGGAGAGGGGATAAGAGACTAAAGCCAGACACAGTCTCATACAAGTCAATTTAACCACCATCTAAAACTTTACTATTGATTACACATTACCAAACTGCATGAGTATTAAAATATTCATAATTTTCCAGTATTAATAAACACATGATTGTACAATTAACAGAATGCATAGTGTAATATTGATTTAAAATAACTTAAGTGAGGACCACAGCTCCTTTTATTAATTTAAGTATCGTAATTATTCATCGCAATTAATTTATAAGTGCTTTTCACAACTTTCAGGGCCTACTTATTAATTGGATGTACTGTGGCAAGACATTTTGCTCAAATACATGGGGAAAAATGCTGTAAAAATCTTTAATGATAAAAACACCACTGAAATTTGCTGACAACTCTAGCCTCAAATACGATCATTTCAACATGCCTGAATTAGGACTGGGCAAAATGGTGATAAAATTCAAAGAATGATCTCATTACTGTGACGGTATGCCATTATGGTGAAAGTCCAGTGTAATTCACAAATTTTCACTTGCAACTCCATGCTCAAATAAACACACACCTCCAGTTGGTCAGCCTCATCCAAGTGAGTGACACATGGATTTAACCAATTGCAATGAAAGGTGAACTTTTGGAAGAAGCAGATTATTTTAGTTACCTCTTAAAGTGCCCTCATCATGTATTTTTTTTATGTTATAATGTGGTTTCCTCATCAAAAAATACCAGAGTTGTGTTTTGTTTCATTTCATTCTTTGAGTTCTTCTTTCCAACAAACTCGCACACAGTTGCTTCTTGTGATGTCACTGATTGATAATACAAGAAGCGTTCCCCTGGGTTTTTAAACTCGATACATCTTCACCAGAGTGATTTGAATACTTTCAGTCCTGGAATTGCCAAAAATCAGTACACCAGCTGATGTTGAAGACTTTTTATGGCAATTTCAACTGAACAAAGGGTAAAACAAAAGTATTCTTTTATTCTGCAGCTTATGGTTATTCTAGTGTATTGTAGAGTACATCAGTTCAACTGAGGTCTAAAATAGATGTTACTTTAAAACTAACACTTGATTACATCACATGGTGGTGCAAAGCATTTTGAGCTGTGAAGATGTGGGCACCGTAATAGTCCAGAATATGTGAACAAAACAAAACAACTCCAGGTATACTTTTGATTAAGTAACATTCTGGCTTAAAGCTCACAAGATTTTTGGTATAGAGCCCACTCCAAACATGAATAAATGAAACTATGATTTTAGTAAACTAAAGATGAGGGAACACTATTTGAACATGTTTTACAGCAGACTTTTCTATACGTCTCCTTTAAAATGATAGTTTAAGGCCCTGCATAGCACAGACGTTTACTATATAATCATAGTTTGGGGTCTAGAGTTATTTTGAACCCAGATGACAAACGGTGGATCATGCTTCATGTTTACTCTGCAGACACGCCGCACTTCAACTTTTGCACCAGACGTCTGATCTTTTATGGCTGCATTAGTGTCAGAGGAGCACAAACAGCCTGTATATCAGAGCCCCACGCTGCCTGCTCCCTGTTGACTGAGGGCCAGAGAACAGATGGACATCCTCTCCCATAAAGTTTCCCCTGCTCCTGTGTCTCAGGTGTTTGCTTTAAATAAGAGACAGACTTTTCACACCTGCCCACAGCGATTTGAACATCAGGACCAGACACTGAGCAGAGGGACACACCCATCTGTCTGCTGTCGTGACGACTCAGGTTAAAAGGAATGCCAAGGAAACCCATCACGTCTAGCGGGAGTTTGACTACAGCTGACGCAGACAATCAGCATCACAACAAAGTCTCACAATTGATGTTTGGATGCACAAACTCGAGGCTCACAATATAATGAATAAGACAAACTTCCTGCACAAGGGAAATTACTTAAATCAATTTTTTTGTTTTTTTGTCATTTATGAAATGTATAATATTTACAGTTATATTGCTCAGCTTGTTTTAAAACTATGATCAAGTTTGACTATGAGGAAAGGGAACCCCAGTCTCCTCCATTACAGGAAAGCATTGAATTAAAATATTGAGAATATCGTCTGATAATATAAAAATTTATTTTTGTCAGTATCACCCAACCCTACGACCTAATACAGATGTCCGTACTAGTCCTAAACATTCAAACTTTCTTAAAATCATATTTTATTTTATCTAACAGGGTAACAACATACTTATATTTTTGTACCTAATAACTCTTTAGTTAATGTATTTTCCGCACTATAGGGTGCTCTGGATTATAAGGCGCACTGTCATTGAATGGTCTATTTTCGAACTTTTTTCACATATAAACCGCACCGGACTATAAGGCGCATTAAACGAAACAACAGTTAGATAAGTCAGTCAAACTTTATTTAACGCGTTCAGAATAACTCGCAACTTTGTTCAATTGTAAAGTGTAAAAAAAAAACAGAGAGTACTAAATTGTTAGCGTATTCAAACAGTTGGGCGATTACGGCATCCAGCATGCCCGCATCCCTCTTGTCATTATCCGACTCAGTGTCATTACTGTTACCTGGCAGTTCAGTGATGATTCCGGTCTTCGTGAAAGCTCGGACCAGAGTTGATACTGATACCTTAGCCCAGGCA